TTTAGGAGAATGTGTTTGGTTGGTTGTAAGAGGGACGAGGTGCGTCACGTGTTAATGTCTGATTGGTGCTCGAGTTGACTGCCTGAACTAGCTCGCAGGCTTCGCCCCCTTTATGCTAAAATGGAACTAGGAACAAATGAAAGCAGCAGCAGAAATAGTTGTTTATTATTTATGAGTTCTTTATTAAGGGAGGTGACTGTAGAAAAGGAGCAAACTTTATTTTCAGTAACTTTACAGAAGTAACAAAAAAGGAATTGCTGGTTCTCTGGGTTCTCCAAACAAACAAAACACATGGCTGCAGAACAATGTACAACATACAGGCTTGGAGAAGGAGAAGCATTTCATTCACCGAAACCAACCAATAGAAATGTCTCAATTTGGAAAAATCTCATTAAACTGAATTACAATGAAGATCAAATTTACAAATTTAGGAACCTGGGATTTTAAATTAGTGCACATTACATTAGCATGTAACAGAAGTTAAAAAACATAAAATAATTGTACAAATGTTGTTACCTGGAATTAGACTATTTTTGAATACTGGGAGCAGCTGTCTAAGGCATCTTTAATTCAATAGAAAAAAGATCTCAAAGTCCTATACAAAGCAGGAATGAAGCTATACAATGTTACATTATATTTTATTCCTTACACACTGTACAAAGTCTGTTTCCTTCAGGCCGGCCTCGCCGACCACAACACTAGGCAGCTTAACTTTTGGGTTTTAATATCCTACATTTACGGTGTCTACCAGACACACACTGTATTTACATTATCCAGACATGAAATACAAACATAAATATGAGCACGCTCTGTCTATCCATCCCCCAATGGCATGTCTTCAGACACATTCTTGAAAAAATACACCAAATATTGGCCACCTGCATGTAAGCTTAAGCTTATCTGTCGCCCCTTGTGAAGCACTTTGAGGAAAATGCTTCAAAGTACTTTTAAAATAAATCTGACTTTAGCTTTTTGGTCAAAGCTGTTTAGCATGTATTGAAACAGTGAAAACTCAAAGCAGAGGTACCTGCTGTCCGATGGCACCGTGCTAATTTGACCAAAAAGCTTATTTTACAATAGCTTGGTGTATTTATCTAAACAAAAGGAACCCCTGCACACATTTGACTTCAAACTGTCTGATGACATGTTAGGAAAAAGGTCAGTTCATCTTCAATATTTCAAAAAATGAGCAACAATGTTTTCTGTAAAGCACAAGACATTAAAGTAAATTATGTGAATACTGTACAGTAGGTCTAATGCTGGTCATCTGTATATCAACAAAAAGTGTTAATTCAGAATTAAAGCTATCACATAGCTGGAAAAAAGGCATGTATAAAGCGACGAATCAAAGGCCTGAGAAAGATAACTTTTTCATCTCGGCGAGTGATTGTCAAGTTAGGCCAAATCATTGTAAATCTGATCGTATATACAGCAATGCATAGGCTACAAATCCTCAAATCAAAATGATACCATGAGTGAAGCAGAATAGCAGTTACCCTAGTTATTTATTAGTACACATAGTGTAGGTAGGGCTGGGTATCATTCTTTTTTTGATACCTAACAAGATGAAGTAGAAACATTTGAATAAAAAACAAACAAAAAACATTTCCGGTTAATAACAGGAGAGTTCATGTTAAAATAAAATGTCTAAAAAACACAAGCAGCCATTCAAGAACCTAACAGAGAACTGTGTTAAAACCACCCAACGTTTTTGATTTAAATCAGGAAATATGTGATAAAGAACAAGTTAAGAGAATTAACTTGGCCAAATATTAGAAATCTCAATAAATGACAACCTCGATACCCAGCCCTAGACGTAAGCGTACCTTTTGTAATATTGAAGATGGAAAACCAACTCATATTGAACTGAATTAAATCCTTAGCACCTGGAGACTTAAGAGACCTCTTTGACCGTAATTCTCAAACTTTATTATACAAGTTATTTTGATAATTTGTTATTATTAGTTTATATACTTAATTATTGTTTCAGGGTTTTAAACTCAGCCTCTTGACAACACAGGGAATTAAAAGGTATTCCAGAAATATGAACGTTTTTGCAGTACTTCTCTAAGAAAGAAGACATTTTTAGGTAGTTTACATTGATTTATATGTGAAATAATGACTCTCCTTGGACATCAAGTTATTGATTCAGTCACAAACTCCTAAAAAACATGATACTTAAGCGTTTCCTCTACATGAATCCAATAATAATAAGAGAGTATAATTTCCTTGAAGTTGGTAATAGGTGACATCCTGCTTTTATATCATTAACATACTGACCAATCACTCAGAACATTTGGTATAATCATATTTGGTGTTCCACAAGGATCAAGCCTGGGTCCTCCATCATTCTCTAATTATATGTTTGCACTTTGTGATATTACACCTAATCATAATAGGAGACTCACTTAAGCCCCTTAACCAGCTTTTCTCTAAGTCGAAATGTTCCTTAATCTTGACCAAAATTGTCAATACTTGAAATGTAATGTTCAGTCTTGCATATCTCAGACTAAGCGAAATGTATTTACCGGTAATTGATTTTGTAACGTTTTCTGATATTGATATGTGTCCTTAATGTTGTATTTGGACAACAATATGTATAATTTCCAGCTGGATGTTCACCAATATATTACTAAACTACTCGGATTTCCCTATTTTGCCAGTTTCTTTTGAAGTTGATTTTGAAATATACATTTTATTTTTTTTGTTAAAAGGATCAGTGACTTCTGGCCCTCGACTGCATATGAAATCTAAGCCTGAGACTGAAAGATTTTTGCCGAGTTCTTGTCTTTACATACTCTTCCGCGTCTCATTTCTTTTTCGATGTCAAGATCTGTTTACATATTTGTGAGTGAATTTCTAACAATTGTATGAAAAAATTGTTAGTTTATCATCATTAATAATGTTATGTTTATTAGTATGAATACACACACACTTTAAAAAATAGCCAAAACTTCTAAAGGTTTCCAAAAGTCTGTAAGGGGAGTTTGTGTTTAACTGTTTTTCAGGTTTTAAATCAGCAGACACTCCTGCTAAAACACAAATAACTTAAGCACACAATGAACATTTCACTGAGGTAAAACATATTTCTATGAAATGTACAAAACAATTGTATTATTTTTGCCTTTTTTGGTGCTTTAAAGCCAATTTTTGGGAGCTCTTACTCACTACAAACAATTGAAAAACCAAGTGGGGGAAATAAAAAATACAAAAAGACGGGAACTGTATATAGAGTCTTGTGGTCTTGGCGTCTGAATAATAACATGTATGATCTTCATCCAGAGAGGTTTATAAATAAGCAAATAAGCGTCTGAATCCCCATCATTTTTGCACGGTCAGTCGGAGCTCGAGGAAAAAAAAGATACATAAAACTATTATTCATACGTTTGCTGGATCCGTCTGAAGTCCACTAGGAAGGTTTTCTTTGTACACCATGCTACACAGTAGTACACAGTGCCCAGAGTGAGAGGGGATATAGGGACTTCTTTTTGGAGTATTTCCCATAACGGGAGAAGTCACAGACACTCCCTTGGTATCGTCTCCTCTGCCCCTCCGTCCTCTAATACTGTCTTTAGTTTCATAGAGTTTGTCTGTGTAAACGTTGGGCAGCAGCTCACAGGTTCTTGGTGTTAATGTGAGTCTTATAATGCTTCGTCAGGTGGTCACTCCTCATGAAGCGTTTCTGACACTGGGTGCACTCGAAGCGCTTGTCTCCTGTTGGGGAAACAAACAGAAAAAGTTTGTGATAATGTTTTTAATGTCACAGAGAATATAGGGACAAGCTTACAAACACATTTTCCTAAACGTTTTACCTTAAGGGTAAGCAATAAAACCAGTATTATCATGGAACTTTTGAGGGCCTGTGTCCACATAGAGTCTTTTCCTGAGCAGTAACATCGTATTTTTATTAATTCCAAGACAACAGAGTGTAATCAACCATACACTAAGAGATATTGTGGAGCGAATGTGTGTATTCACATGTGTTTCAGTGTCTTCACATGTGTTTCAGTGTCCAGCAGACGGACCTGTGTGCGTCCTGGCGTGCCGCTGCAGTTCGTCGCTGCGTGTGAATCGTTTCCCACAGAAAACCCAGTTGCAGACGAAGGGTCTCTCTCCGGTGTGCAGCCGGACGTGAGCTCTGAGAAGCGACGTTTTCCTGAACGTCTTCTCGCAGCCGATGACGTGACAGATGTGCTTCCTCTTTCCAATCTCCCCCGGCCTGCAGAGCGTAAACACACACACACGGTGAGAAGTGAGATATAGTTACAGGCTTACATCAGGGTAGAGCTGAGCATTCAAAAGGCGAATGGATTTGAGATCAAAATGGACATAAAAGCGTCAATTGTTCTGTTCATACAAAATATTTACATTTTCAGTACCTAAACTTAACTTACAAAGAATAAGATTTGTAGTTATGTTTTGTTTTTGTCAGTAGATCACTAAGACATAACTTTATCGGAGAAATCTCTGTACCTTTCATTTTTTTGGAGGGACAACATGATTGTTATTCTCAAACAAGTTCACAAAATGTCTTTTAGCAGGTAACTTATTAAAAACTTAGCAATTAATTGAAAATCTGTCCATTATAGTCATGTCCAGTTGGTAATGTTTTACCTTATATTACATTTCATAATGTAGCTGATGTTTTTCTCCCAAAGTGCTGACATACACTTCAAAAGATAGGAGCAATTGGGGTTGAGTATCTCTCCAAAGCACATTTCGACAGGTTGATCAACTCACTGACTCTCTAATTGGTCAGGACACCCATTTATCGCCTTAGCCCCAAACACCCCTAAATATTCCCTTAAAGCCATTTTATTCTAAAACAGTTCAAGGTTAGTTTATTTGTATAATAATAATAATAATAGATGATACTTGTATAGCGCTTTTCTAGACACTCAAAGACGCTTTGACAGAGAATAACAACAACAAAAAACAAAGAAAAATACAAAGAGAGATAAACAAAACAGAAAATAGGGGG